TTTTTTTTTGTTTGTTTTTTTCAGTTGAAAAACTTGCCTTTTTCAAATGAACAAGTATAATGCTATTAAATCCTTGATTATATCCAAGTTGTAAAATTTACACTTAATTATCAAAGACAATTTAGTATGATCTATTTGCAAAGTGTGATGCCTGTTTGATGCACATTCTGTACACATTATATTGTGTGTAATCTCGATTACTTTTTGCCAAAAAGAAAAACTTGATAAACTTTATCGTGTCAAGGGCTGTAACTTTGTAAAGGGGAGGCACCTGCTTTTGCATGACAAACTACAAAAATCCTGTCCATTCTCACAAAGGTGGTAGAGAAAAAAAAAGTACAATAGCATAGAGAGTACAAAACTTATACTAAATCAACACTATAGGATTTCACTTATTTTTAATTTTTTTTTTTTTTTTTTTTCAAAATCTATAAGACTATATTGCTGAATCATGTTGGCACAATTATTTATATAGTGATCTATTTTAACTGTGAACCTCATATTGGTTGTCTACTGTGTCTAGGATGGAACACTGGGAATCTGTTGAGAAAAAGACAGGCATTAAGTTTAAAGGTTCTAAGATTTCTCCACTTTTTCTTCTGGCATACTAATTTGGAGAATAGTTCAGTCCCTTGGTCGATTAATGTGACCTAGATACCTTGCTCCACTGGAATAAACAGAAGTAGTGTCAAAGAAAAGATATTTTAATAAGAAATAAGCATAGAAAGCTGAATAAGCTGACTCTTTCACAATTATGACATTACTGAATATGACGGGGAAACCTGAAGAATGGAGCATAAAATTGCAGAAACATTGTGACTGACAACCAAGATAAGGACACCACTTGGTGTATAATAATGAAAATCTCAGGAAATTTGACAATTTTCTTCAAGACATCATATTAATGTTGTGTATGTATCTCTTTAAACCATTTATTCTGATTTTGATAAGTTGCATTTATTCTCCCATTTGAGTTGTAACGATGAACTGCATTATTATTACTTTTCTCTACTATATATATATATATATATATATATATATATATAATTAAAAAATTTTTTTTTTAACTATAAACATTATTTTTAGTGGCTACACATGTTTGAGTAGGCATTCCTGTTTTGTTTTCATTTTGTTTTTTCCAACCACTGAAATTCTAATCTCCCAGCTTAGAAATATTAGGAAAATCTTAATGAAAAATATAATTAAACTTGAATTCCCATTTTATCTTGGTGATACCCCCCCACACACACACACCAGCCAGACAGACTTTCACTGTTTCAGCCATAGAAACACCTTCAGCAAAGCAAGGCTTAATTACTCCACATGAGCAATACTCATCTCTCATTGGAACCTTTCAATATATTTAGCATAGCTGAAACATAAAAGTAATTTTCAAGTATTGAATGGATTTTTTCCTATGCTGCATTATTTCCTATTTGGCTATAAACAATTTTTTAGTGGCTACAATAGAGTTGTTTAGTCTCATGAAGAGTGTATGTAATTCTATGAAATGAATAAAGAATGGCATATAAGTTGTGAACAAATTTTATGCTATAATAAATAATATATATATATATATATATATATATATATATATATATATATATATATACTGAAGATCTAATACAACTAACAAATACTTGTGTAATACATGGCTCATTAATAGAAGCAGTTCACATCAACCAAGCAAAGTTGAATTTGAACCACTTAATGCACATGATTGATAATTATCAAATAACACTGAGTGCTATGCAAATCCATATTCTTTAAGAAATTTACAGTTTTCTTATTGTTATATTTTGTAACTTGAATTTGACCTCTTCCTCCTTTGTAAAGAGATGTTTGTCTTCAACATTATGCAAAGATTATCAGAAATTAAACTTAGTAATCTAAAGTGAGAATTGCAGATATATATATATATATATATATATATATATACACACACACACACACACACACACACACACAGAAGGTGTATCAACAAAATTATCCAATTGTTAGATTAAGCATTGAATTATTGTATTGTAGAAAAGCTTAAAGATATCTTACTGGAATTCTGAGGGGTTTTTTTTTATTATTATTATTATGCTATTGGACTCTACTTTGAGCAATAAGAATGTATAATTACTGCCCAAGCTTAACAGAAGAACTATAAATGAAAATGACATGTTTGTCACTAATTAATCATAATCGGAAGCTCATGAAGGATTGAGATAGATATATATATATATATATATATATATATATATATATATATATATATATATAGGATCATTTTCCAACTTATTCAAGATGATCTTCACCCTCTCTAAACTAACTTTCTGTCCTGTAGCAACAACTTGCCTCAGATGTTTCATGTACGATTTCATTTTCAAGTCTTTTACATTGCTCTTTGGTCTGTCATAGTTGAAACTACTCTCTCACATGCCAAATGTCTCATAAATTGAATTGGATCTTTTCTAGTTGATCTCTTTAGCTCTAAGTTGAAATGATGATCCCTCTTTCTGTTGTGACCTGATCCAGTTTTCCTCTCTACTGTTCCCTCTTTTTTAAACTTATTCACCATTCTCTTGATGGTTCTTGAATGGACTTTCAAGATGGAAGACAGAATAAGAATGTTGGGTACCATTACTGAAGGCCTGAAGGATCTTTTTTTCTTCTCATCATTACTCAGTTGAGAAGACAGTGGGGCTGTCATAAAATGATTTTAACTTATCCTTTTTCTAGTTGAATAACACAAAGGGTTTTTCAGTGATTCTTACAACAAATCGTACCAAGATGGCTAAAAATCTTATCTGGAAAAAATCTTGAGGGGTTTAGTGGTTTGTCGATATTAAACATTTCGTGGGATGGACAATTATGCTGTAACACTGTGTGTGTGTGTAATATATATATATATATATATATATATATATATATATATATATATATATATATATATAATGGCATCCTTTAAAGGAATAACTGTTCTATATTGTTAGCATCCATCCGTCTCAAGAGACGATGGGGTAGCGAGTGCGGTGTACTCTGAGCATGAGCAGGATAACTAGAGCTGCCCATACGTCTAGTTCCCCATCTCGGCCTTGCTAGCAGAGTCCAAAGGAGAGGATAAACCATTACAGTTTGGTACCAGCGAGGCTGCAGTAGTTTCCGGAAGGTAGCACAAAGTGCCATCCATCCCCCTTAGGGACTCCACTCCGGGTTTGAATTCAGAGTTGCCTTTGTCCTAGACTAGTTGCCTTTGTCCTAGACTAGTTGCCTTTGTCCTAGACTAGTTGCCTTTGTCCTAGACTAGTTGCCTTTGTCCTAGACTAGTTGCCTTTGTCCTAGACTAGTTGCCTTTGTCCTAGACTAGTTGCCTTTGTCCCAGACTAGTTGCCTTTGTCCCAGACTAGTTGCCTTTGTCCCAGACTAGTTGCCTTTGTCCCAGACTAGTTGCCTTTGTCCCAGACTAGTTGCCTTTGTCCCAGACTAGTTGCCTTTGTCCCAGACTAGTTGCCTTTGTCCCAGACTAGTTGCCTTTGTCCCAGACTAGTTGCCTTTGTCCCAGACTAGTTGCCTTTGTCCCAGACTAGTTGCCTTTGTCCCAGACTAGTTGCCTTTGTCCTAGACTAGTTGCCTTGTCCTAGACTTTGCCTTTGTCCCAGACTATAGAACCCAGTCTCTCCTGCTATTTACCCATAGCTGGAAGGAGAAGAAGATTCACACCTTTCCCAAGGGTATTAGCACATAAGTAAATGTAATAAATGCGACTGGAATTCAAACTCGGCTCTCTGATTCTTCAATCCAAGCCGCTATCCATTACTCTACCGTGCCTCCTCACTGTTCTATGTAATATTTATACATTGTAATTTTGAACTTTACACTCAATTTTGTATGAGGAGCCCAATAGTTCTGTTCAGAATTGAGCTGCTTGACTACTCACATGATTTGATTATAGTCATGAAGGCTTGTGTAGAACCAAAACCATATTTTTGTTTTCATTTGGAAGAACTAATAACGGAAACTGCGGGTCTGAATTCAGTTTTTGTTCCTTTAGATTTGGCTGGCACAAGTGTCCACAGCTGGGGTAAGATGGATTCATGCTTTTTCTTCAAGAGCATCAAGTGAACAAAACAGAAAAATTGATTAGAATTTGAGCTTGGCTCAGCAATTTTACTTTCTATTGATAACCATTACATTACCTGCACATTGTATGTTTAAGATTTACAAATATCTATGGTGGAGGAAGAAGGGTTAATACAACAAAGCATGCAAGGATGAAAATCAACACAGCATGGTGATTGTCAGTTTCATGTCTCGAGCAACCTTCAAGCTATGTGTTACTGCTCCTTGTACAAGGCTCTCTTTCTCTTAATATTACACGCACACACAATAGTGAAATTAGATGTTTTCATACAGGAAATATTTGGTGTTTATTGCCCAAACCGTGTTATGGTTCGTTGAAATTTCTCTTTCTTAAAACAGTTTTTCTGGAAATTAAACTTTTCAAATCAACTAAATGTCATAGCTCTTTTATTTATATAGTTGGGAGTTTCCTTCCAAATCTTTTGAATATATGATAAAATTGAAATTCAATTTGACATTAATGTATTCAATATTATTCATTATAAAGCAATTTATTTCCATAAAATTTTGGCTGTTGCAAGAGTTTATCTGGTTTTAACTTAAAAAAAAAAACAAAACAAAAAACGTTGGGGTGGGATTCTTATTTGTCTATTAAGCATTTTCCTTCCAGCTATTGACACCCACCCCCACCCCCGGTTATCTCTCTCTCTCTCTGTTTCTATTTTCGTTTTCTTTGTTTTCTTTCTTTTCCATTTACTAAAAACATGTTTTCAGTAGATGCAAATTATATTTCAAGTTTACGTTTTTTTTTTTTGTTTTTTTTCTCTTCTCCTTAATTTTTCTTTATCATGAAAAAGATCTGTTGTTTGTGGTTAGATTTCCTTCTCTTAATTGACAAGAATTTATTTCACCATCTCTGTTGTCACCACCACATGCCCTGTGGTCACAATCCCCACCCCTTTATGGACCATCTGCCCACCTTCCGTCAGTGTTTAACTTAACCCAGCCCAACTCCTCATAGCCTTGCCACAACATTTCACTGGGGTGGGGTGGGGGTATAGGGGGGTTGCTGTATGTATAAGTCTTTGAACTATTTGCATTAAAAGAGAACTAAAATAACTTCTTTCTTTTGACCACTTTGCCTGTGTTCTCCCTTTCCAAACAAAATCCAACCCTTTGGACCCCCCCCCCAGCTGAACATATCTTTCTTACTGTCTACTCCAGCCTCTCATCCTTTGGTTTATTTTCCTACAACCTCCTCTATATCTAGAATTTACCCCCTCCTTCATAGCATACTACAGACCTTGCTTTTATTTCTTTTCCTCTACTTTCTCTTTTTATTTTTCAAACTTATCCCTTTTTCTTCTTCTTCTTCTTCTTCTTCTAAGCCAAGTTTTCCAAGTGATCTCTGTTTGGCTTAATATTTAAGCACAAACATCTAATATGCTCTTCTGTCCTTCTCTGTCGAATACGCCACCCACTCTCCCCCACGACTTTTTTGTGTGTGTGTATGGAGGCTTCATAAAAGGGTTGGGTAAAGAATCCAACCGCTTGGCTGTTGCATTAATCAGAGGCGAATGCTGTGGACGGCTTTTGTCTACAAATGAGCCTAAATTAAGGCAAATCTATTATTCAACCACTGCTATGAAACTGGCCCTAACTGTCAGTGCTAATGTTTACATCAGACGAATCGCTAGCTCACACTGAAAGAACATACAGCAATAATTAAAGCCCACATCAATAAGTAAACATAATAGTCACCTTTTTACAAGTACTTTCTGAAATACCAGTCTTTTAATCTCTCTCTTTCTCATTTCTCTTTCGTCTTTTTTTCCCTCTCTCTTTGCCTTTCATCAACTTCAAAAGAAGAGCAACTTATTTTTAATGTATCCATTTTTTTTGTCGTTTGCTTTTTGTATATATTTTTTCTCTTTTGAAAAAGAGACCAAAAAAAAAAACAAAAACTTTCATTTGATCCACAAAAACCTAGTAGTACTGAAAATGTTTTTTTTTTTTTTTTTTAAGTGGCTAGACTATTGACACAGAAGAGACCGTGCTAGAACTACTTACCATACTTAGGTTAGGCTGGCAAAGGGCAGAAATTTTGAGCACTTAACAAAATTTGAACACCAGTCTTTTGTGATGAGATCACTGAATGTTATTATATATACCAAGGGAAATTAGTGATTTTAGTATGACACAAGGTCATGTGTTTAGAGTAACCAGTAACGTATTGAACTGAGCATGTAATATGAGCTTGCTGATTCAAACACAAGGTACTCAAAATGGCATGATGGCCACTGGTGTACCAAATATAAGTGCCGGCATGATTAAATCATTTATTTCACCCCTTCCTCTAACCTCTACCTAGAGGGGGGGAGTAGGGAAGGGGTGAAATATTTCGCATAGCATGCTTATTTTTCAAAGGTTTTTCTTGGTCCCACGATTACTTTGTTCCACATTTATTAAATTTATAGAAAATTTCCTGACTGAATGTCTATTTGAACTGGAGTACTTGTTTTAATGGTTCAAAATTCTCATTGACATGACTAATACAGACTCCATTTGTAATTGCTATGAAAGCGTAGTTTTATATATATATATATATATATATATATATATATATATATATATATATATAATTTATTGTGTGTGTATTTTGAACAATAAAAAATATTAAAAAAAAAATAATTTTCAGACACTGGTTAATATTTTTTTGTTTTATTATTTCAATTAGGTTCCTTGACTAGTTTTGGCCAGCATGGCCATCATCAGGATAAAAAAAAATCCCCACTTGTTAGTAGCAGTGAACTACAAGAGCGAATGACTGTTTCTGAAGAAAGTGAACTTTATCTGTAGTTTTCATTTGTTTTTTATTGTTAATTTTGGTCAGTCCTTGTGTTGGCCAAATGACTTCTTTGAAGTTGTTTTTAAGATGTAGGATGGCACATTCATGACTTTAAGAATTCTCTCCTTTAACATTTTGACAGATTTTGTTGGTTGCTGGGAATGGGATTTGTGTGTTAAGTGTATATTGTATATTCCCAAAGAACTAAAAGATAGAACACTTTGAATTATTTTTTTTGTTTTTATCGTTTTATATTTTAAAGTGTAAAAGATTTCCAGCAAAGTTTGACCATCATGCCCACAAAAAAAAGAAAAAATGAAGTATTGAAAGGACAGTTTCCCCCATGGCACCATTTTATTTTAACCCCCTTCACTCCTCAACAATGTTTGTTCTTTTAAAAAGCAACGATTAGAATTGCGATAAAACTTAAGCGTATCAAAATGAATTTATACATTTTCTTTGTTCTTGAGAATTGACAACAAAAACAAACATTATTTATTTATTAGATTTACATATTTATACTATTGTTTATTGGAGGGGTTGGCAAAAAATATTGGCTAATTGCCAGTTGATTCAAACTATTTGTTTATACTTGGTTCACTTATAGTTGGGTTTATTATAAGGTAAAAATTTATGAATAAAGTTTTCATATTTATTTCTTTATAAATAGGTAAATAATAAATATTGCATTAGTTTTGATTGCATTTGTTTTTAGAATATCTAATTTTGGATACAAAGGTCAAAGTTTGCCAGATTTTCTTTATATGATAGCAGTTCTTTTTTTCTGAGTGCTCTATTTTAAATACTTTTAATAAGTAAATAATAAAAAATGTTATACTCATATATATATATATATATATATATACACACACACACACTCTTGTTTGAAAAGTTTCCTGTCATTTCTGATAGTGTGGTCTTAATATAACTTAAGAGCCAATCAGACTAGAGCTTAATGTATGTTAACTCTCCCATGGGGTTACTAAAATGACTTTTGAATTAGCTGATGTCTTGTGCAACTGTTGCAATCACAATGACCAAATGAGATTCTTTGTCTCCTGTAAGATTTATATTTTGGCAAAACATTCCATCGCTTAGACCACTCGGCTTTATTATCTGAATATTTTTCTCTCTAACCATGAAATTTCAAACCATGAATGAGATTTTTTAAAAAAATGGTATCTGATAGTGACCTTAATAGATACCTTCAGATTATTTTGAAAAATGAAACGGTCATTGTTATAAGTGTAAGGTCAAAAGAAGTGTACTTTGATCATCATGACCATTTTAACAGTAACCCTCTATCTTGAGTGGCTATCGAGCCATTGCCTTAAGTAGGTTATTTTTCGTTAATATTAAATGACTGGATACTTTCCCATACATCTATTTTTTTTCTCTTTATTATTTCTCTTAAGGGTTCTAAAGGAGGCAAAGCGTAATTTTGATATGGAGGGGGGGGTTCTCAAATGTTATCTGATGAAAATTATTTGTGACTTAACCTTGTTCTTATATTCACTGTTTTAAGTGACTCGTATGGTTTCTAACACCGCATGAAAATGAGACTGTTGTATGAATACATGAAGTGTTTACCCCCAAAGTTATAGAAAATAAATTTACTTGAGCAACTTGTTTCTACTGTCTTCTTCAGTCTGAGCTTCTTACACTGGCTTAGAAAAGTTGGTGTCATTATTTGATTTGTGCGTGCTAATCTCATTCATTATCTTGATTTCTTTTTCTATTTGATGAAGCATTGCTAACCATTATTAATCTTTGACTTTTAATTCTTTCTTTTTTTAGTTGACTCTGGCAGTCATTCTATGACCATTTACTTAATAGTGTAGATTTGTCAGTCAATAGCCATTGAGTTGACAGGCTGAATAGTTGAGATGAAAAAAAATACTAATCAGAAGTTAATGACTAAAAATGCTTCATCTAATAATAATAAAGTTCAAGATGATTTGATTTTTATTTACTAATGGCTGTACAATGAAAGTTAGCAGAGTATTAAGATCTCTGCTGTGTGGCACAAGCAATTATTGCTCTCCACAACTTCCTCACCTTTGAACCTCATACTAATTTTTGTCTTTTTGCCACTGTCGTAGCATACCTACGGATAATAATGGGTATGCCCCATTCCCATAAATGGAGTAATTGATAACAGCTCCGATTGAGGAATCTGAGAGCAGAATTCGAATCCCAGTTGGGTCCATTACATTCACTTACATGCTAATACCCTTGGGAAAAGTATGAATCCTTTACTTCCCCCTCCTCAGCTATGGGTAAATAGCAGGACAGACTGGGTTCTATAGCCTTGGATAGCAACTGGTCTACTGCAGAAATAAATGGCAACCTATTGTGTGAAAAAATCTACCTCGTCAGTCATGTATGGAAAGATACATGATCGCCTAAGCATGTGTATCATGCATAGCACATAACTGACTGACTGAATACTCTGTTGATCTGCGATTGGAGATTCATTGTGAAATTCACTTGACTCACTTGTAGCAGTTGGCTACTTCTTTTAGGCACCACTGGCAAATCTTATATGTATTGTTCTTGGGTTAAGTATTATCGTTCATTACCAACCTTTGTGTGATTATTCTATTCAGTAACCCTCCCTAGGTTACAACAGCCACCCACCTCCTGTCCAACATCTATACACATAAGCTTATCAGGTAGGTGATTTTCTGCCTCCTCCTGTCCATTTTCCCCTTCAGATGTAATCCTGTAAGTGTTGAAGCTTGTAAGCCAGTCGTTCTCAACTTTTTCTACCCATGGACCGCTTCTTTCTCTTTTTTTTGGGGGGGGGGATCCACTAATATGCAAAAACTACAATAGCAGTGTCATGAGACTTTAGCACATATACACTTGGAAAGATAGGAATCAATTTCTTCTCCTACCAGCTTGGGTTCTCTAGCTTTATTTGGCAACCAATCTAGAAGAAGGATAACTTTTAACAAGCTAGTCTGGTTGACTATTTAGCTTGATCCTCATTGGGTCCCCCATACTTGTGCTCATGTGCCAAATTAAAAAAAAAGGATTGTCTGTTTAGTCATTGATGGGTGTCCTGAGGAGGAATTCTATTTGTTTATGATGGGTACTCAGAATTTCTCAATCCAATGCCATGTCTGTAAACAACAGACTAAATGAATGGTTTTTTTTCTTAACCAACTCCTTAGTTGGTCCACAGATTTTTCACTACCTTCTTATATTTCTACATGGAATTTTTTTTTTTTTTTTTTTTTTTTTTTGTGGATCCCCATAAACATTCAATGAAAATAAATAAAAAGAATCTTATTTTATCTTTACTAATAAGTTTAGAATTGTATTATACAAATAGTAAATGAATATGCTTTATTTTCAAGTAAAACTAAGAAAATAAACTTGTATTGAATAACTAAATTCTATGGAACATTTATGCACACTAGTAAAATAACTTCAACTATTTAAAAATGTTTTTACAGTCAAAACATCTGGTAGAGTAAAAAGGATGCTAACTTACATTGCTTAATCTTGTTTTTTTGCTAGTTTTAGAGTTTTCTCT